ACCAGAAGTCAGGAATTTAATCTTGGTCTCTCATCACCTGCTGTTTTCTAGGGTGTGCATTAGCAGGATTCTGGAACCAAAAGCAGAGCCAGGACTTAATATGGCACGCGTATTTTCCAAGTGTTGTCCCGGCTGTTGCACCAGAAATCCAATCTTCATCTACAGCCCTTCCGGCATTACAATTGGCCCAAGTAGGGGAAGAAGAATTCCCACTCCCAACATCCATGCATCATGGTACTAAGCTAGATGATCCTAAGGGGGCTCAAAATGCAGCAAGGGCTAGGGCAGGAATCTTGATGTGGGAAAGGAAAGCACATTGAGAGTCTGACTCTTCAACATGGGTGGTAAGGAACAGGTGTTTGACTGGAGGGAAAAATTTTACTGTCAGTATTTCCTCACTCTTACTATTAAAATCATAGTGGGGGGGGGATAACACCTTAGCAAATGGAAATCCCACTTACAAGGACACAGAAATCCTATGGGGTGAAGCTGTACTGGAAATACAGGGCTCAGAGCACCTGCAGGAACTGTTCCTCTGATTGTCGGCCTCTATATTTGTATTTGCCAACTTCTATTCTACATATCTAATAGCAAAATTAGCTCCATTTCTGAAGTATGAGTTCCTTGTGAACATCAACCATGGCCTAATCATCACCACAAAACCTCAGAATGTCTCAGAAAGCACTTTGTAGTAGGCCCTTGAAGAATAGTTACTAAACTGGTTTGATTTTTAAGAAGTGTTGTAGAGGGGCCGGCGCCGTGGCTCACTTGGTTAACCCTCCGCCTGCAGCGCTGGCATCCCATATGGGCACCGGGTTCTGTCCAGTTGCTCCTGTTCCAGTCCAGCTCTCTGCTGTGGCCCGGGAGGGCAGTGGAGGATGGCCCAAGTGCTTGGGCCCTGCACCTGCATGGGAGACCAGAAGAGGCACCTGGCTCCTTAGCTTCAGATCGCCGTAGTTGCGGCCGTAGCAGCCATGTGGAGAGTGAACCAATGGAAGGAAGACCTTTCTCTCTGTCTCTCTCTCACTGTCTAACTCTATCTGTCAAATAAATTTTTTTTAAAAAGTGTTGTAGAGTGAGCATTTCATTAGGGATTGGGTGATTTAGGTTTCAAGAGAGTGGACCAATAGCAGATGTTTTTATCCACAGGCAGTCACCTGCATCCTGTAGGTCTCAGTATCTCTTAGCAGATGTAGGAAGTCGCCTTAGGTGATGTCTAAGATAACTTCTAACTTCTAACATTCTGGAGTGGAAAGCCTTTCTTCCTTTAAGGAAATGTAAAATTATATATTAGTTGTATTCATAAGCATATATTCTATAAATGTAATGGGAATTTCTTATTAAATATAGACAAATAAAACTGTCACATATGATGATGGAGTAATGGAGTAGTAAGCAATTACCCCACCTAGACGTGATTGTGAGTCTATATTTTTTCTATGTTAAAAATAAAATAAAAATGTTGGCCACTTTAACTTGATTTAAATGACTTTCTTTGACATACAGGCATTATTTTTTTTCCTGAACATAGAATCTCATCCTAATCCTCTAAAATATCACCAGGTTAGCTTCCTAAAGAGTCCATATTACTTCCCAGAAAAATTTATACTCAAGAAGAAATTTTCTGAATATATAAGAATGCATTCATTATATTTATAAGCTCTAATTAATTCCTTTTCTCATAAATATATGTTCTAATGTGATACACACTTTGGGAACTTTGTTTCTATTCTGTTCTTCAATTTATTTATTTATTTATTTATTTATTTATTTTGACAGGCAGAGTGCACAGTGAGAAAGAGAGACAGAGAGAAAGGTCTTCCTTTGCTGTTGGTTCACCCTCCAATGGTTGCCGCGGCCGGCGCTGATCCGATGGCAGGAGCCAGGCACTTATCCTGGTCTCCCATGGGTACAGGGTCCAAGTACTTGGGCCATCCTCCACTGCACTCCCTGGCCACAGCAGAGAGCTGGCCTGGAAGAGGGGCAACAGGGACAGAATCCGGCGCCCCGACCGGGACTAGAACCCAACCCGGTGTGCTGGCCCGCAAGGCAGAGGATTAGCTTAGTGAGCCGCGGCGCCGGCCTTCTTCAATATATTTATAAATATTTGAATATCTGAGTGGAAATGTCATTCTGCAATTTAACTTTAAAGGTATAAAAATCAGATTCATGTGAGATGTGCAGTGTTTGGGGAAGAGGAAAAAAACTTCATTAAGAAGAAAATTCAGTTGGAGTTTTCTCAAATTTTAGATATATAATCAATAAAAAGAATTATAATTTATTAATTTAATAGCAGTCACCTAAAATGTTTGTCTATCAAATGACCCTTTTATATTAACAGTTATGAAACCATTAAATTTACTGGACCAAGGCTGTTTTATAGATATTGATTTGTATCAAATATTGGATTCTTTTTCACTGGAACTGGTAAAAAAATTAAATAAAGTTCGCTATCTGTAGGTGCAATGCAATGACCACTAGAGAGAGCATATGGTCAGCATAGGCTAGAGGGCTTCTGGCAGAACGGACCACACTGCTGAAACACAGATTATCTTCCTTCCAGCCCTGACCCAGCCAGCTGGTGACACTGCCCTCAGGCAACCAGCCACTGAGAGACCAGGAGGCTATGGAATTAAGAAGCCGAGGTCTACAGCAACAGCAACTTCCTTCATGACTTATGGATATCAAAACCTATCAGGGGCTGGTTGGATGTTCCTGGGTGTCCCGTGATCACTTAATTTATAAATGAGAATGCAACCTCAGGTCAGTTTCATTCCGCCTCTCATTAGATGATTCCAGAGTGGATTCTAGGCACAGAGCAAGCATGGGTGGGGAGTTCTGGAATCTTCTCCCTCCACCTGCCCTGCAGACTGCACACCAGTCCTGGATGCTCAGGTGGACTCCCAGACACAGTAATTGGCTTGGTGACCACTGGGGGCTCCAACTAGCCTCTACACCACCACTTAAGTTAAAAGTAATAGAAACTTTATGCTGGGGTCATTGTTCCCTGGAGGCCTTGGTGAATTAGCCTGAAGAATGATTGGCAGCATGAGGGCTCTGGGCCCTACAGCAATGGATCCTGTAGCAATTACTAGGTAGGGATTAGAAAGCCATTGGTTGACGTTTCCGACTTTCCTCTTAGAATTGATAGAGGACCCAAAAGGAAGTCTACAATGAGTTGCAGTGACAAAAGTGACAATGGCAGCTGCTCCCTAATAAGCAGGGATACTCCTCCACTGAAAGTCAGTCTTTCCCCAGAAAGGAAATTCTGAGGGTGACAGTAAGGGCAGGCCTATGGCATTGAGTGGAGTCTTTAGGAGAGGTGTGGTAAAAGCAAATATGGGGACGTATCATTTAATTAGCATTTAAGAATGAAAAAATAGAAAGTGTGAGCACAAATTAATCTTTAAAAAAAAAACTCAGCTGAATCTCCTTCAAGAATTAACTCCTTCCTATCCTGCCTTCTAAAGCAAAGGAAGTTGCTCTGGGATTAAGGACAGACGGTGGGCACCGGTGCTAAGCACCCAGGAGAGAGGGGCGTTCGCCCGTCTCACACAAAGCCGGGAGTTCCCAGGCCGCCAGCGGCCCTGCCCGCGACACCACAGCGGCGAGCCAGGAAGTGCCCATGTCTGTCCAGCTGTCCTGCCGCTCAGCTGGTGGCCGGCAGAAGTTAGTCACCCGGAGCCCGAAGCCGGCGGCCGTCGGAGCGCAGACCGGCCTGGGAAGGGCGCGGGAGGGACCCGGGTACCGGGATGGTCGGGAGAAGCGAAAGGAGCGCGGGGGCGAGGGGACGCGGTGGGGACGCTGGGCGCCTTTTGCCGGTGGGCGAGCGGTGCTGGGTCTGCAGGGGCCGGGGCGCACGGGCGCGCCAAGGGGAAACACTTACAGCGGGAACTTCCCACCGAGGGCCAGAAAAGCAGGCAGGGAGAGACTTGAAATGTCCCAATAACTTTAAAAACACACCAAAACACTCCTTCAGGAGATGAGGTAAGCGGGGTTAGCCAACTCCGATTGGTTGTGAAATATCAGACAGACCCGGAGCTGCTGTGGCTTTAAATGAGGCCAAGGAAATCTTCTGTTTTTCTTGCCCCAATACTTTTTCCCCTCGCTCTCGCTCCCTCCCTCTCGCTAGCCGGGTCCCGGTCCCTTCCTCCTTCCTGGTCTCCCTTTCCTCGATCAGCCTCCCCCTCCGCCCCTGCCCTCCCCCATCCGATTAGGCGCGGAGCGGGAAGGGTGGGAGCGGTGGGGGAAGCTCTCCCTTTAAGAGGCAGCGTGCAGTGACGAATTGTTGAAATTGCCATTGCAGGATGGCATGCCGCTATAAATTCATTGTTCCACCTCCTCGCATCTTCACAGCGCTCGCAGCAGCCGACTGGGGATGACCGCGGGCAGGAAGGCACCGCAGACCAGGGGACCCCGACGCGCCACCCGCACCGGCTCGCCGCAGGCCGCCCCCTGCGATTTTGTCTTAATTTTTATGGCTTTTCCTCCTCTCTTTCTCCCCTTCCTCCTGGTTCCAGCAGAGCCGAGGAAACCCACAAAATAAGAAAGCAAGTGGGCCACGGAGCTCGGAATCTCTGCAGCCGGCGGGGACCGAGCGGCCAGGGGGCGGCGGCGAGGCGGCGCGCACCAGTTGCCGGCCCGGTGCGCGGTACCCTCCTTACTTTTCCTGGTGCAAGGAACCTGGCAGCATTGGACTTTTTGTTTGTTTGCTTGTTTCCTCTCCTTTCCACGTATTTGCTGAATCTCCATCACCTGACTTTTTTCTCTCTTCCTTTTTTTTTTTTTAACCCCCCATTTTTTTTTTTTTTTTTCCGGAGCTGCAATCCAAACATTTTTCCAAACCAACAAAGAAAAGTTCGCACGCTGGCACCGCGGCCCGGACAGGCAGGCGCTGCTGCCGGTCCCCCCACCCTCCGACACTTGAGTCAACCTTGGGAGCAAGTGTGTGTGTGTGTGTGTGTGTGTGCCCCCACTCCCCGCCCCGGTAACTTCCCTAGCGAATAACAAATACCCATAAGGTCCCGGTCACGCAGCCCCTCCCCGCGGGCAGCGCACTATGCTGCTCTGGTGGGCGTCCTTGCTGCTGTGCGCGTTCCGCTTGTCCCTGGCCGCAGCCGGCACCGCCGCGGCACCTGCCCAGGATAAAGCCGGGCAGCCTCGGGCTGCTGCAGCGGCCGCCCAGCCCCGCCGGCGGCAGGGGGAGGAGGCGCAGGAGCGGACCGAGCCTCCCCGCCATCCGCAGCCGCTGGCGCCTCAGCGCCGGAGCAGCGGGCTCGTGCAGAACATCGACCAGCTCTACTCGGGCGGCGGCAAGGTGGGCTACCTCGTCTACGCGGGCGGCCGGAGATTCCTCCTGGACCTGGAGCGGGATGGTTCGGTGGGCGCTGCTGGCTTCGTGCCCGCAGGAGGCGGGCTGAGCGCACCGCGGCGCCACCGGGACCACTGCTTCTACAGGGGCACGGTGGACGGCAGCTCCCGCTCCCTGGCCGTCTTTGACCTCTGCGGTGGTCTGGAGGGTTTCTTCGCGGTCAAGCACGCGCGCTACACCCTGAAGCCTCTGCTGCGAGGGCCCTGGACCGAGGCGGAGGCTGAGCGAGTGTACGGGGATGAGTCCGCTCGGATCTTGCACGTCTACACCCGCGAGGGTTTCAGCTTCGAGGCCTTGCCGCCGCGCGCCAGCTGCGAGACTCCGGCTTCCCCGCCGGGGCCCCGCGAGCGCCCTCCGGCGCACCTCAGCCCTGCCCGACGCGCAGCGCTGGCCCCGCAGCTCACGGACCTGTCGGCTCTCCCGCCGTCCGCCGACGGACCTGGACCACAGACGTGGTGGCGGCGGCGGCGCCGCTCCATCTCCCGGTCCCGCCAGGTGGAGCTGCTCCTGGTGGCTGACTCGACCATGGCGCGGATGTACGGCCGTGGCCTGCACCACTACCTGCTGACCCTGGCCTCCATCGCCAACCGGTTGTACAGCCACGCCAGCATCGAGAACCACATCCGCCTGGCCGTGGTGAAGGTGGTGGTGCTGGGCGACAAGGACAAGAGCCTGGAGGTGAGCAAGAACGCGGCCACCACGCTCAAGAACTTCTGCAAGTGGCAGCACCAGCACAACCAGCTGGGCGACGACCATGAGGAGCACTACGACGCGGCCATCCTGTTTACTCGGGAGGTAGGTCCGGCAGGGGTGGGTGCTCCCAGACAGCGAGGAGGAGGTAGGTGACTGTTTTGCTGGTAGCTTTGCTTCTCCCACCAACCGTCCCTCCGCTGTGGATTCGCATAACTAACCGCTCCTGCAGGACACCCCGCCACGCTCCTACTCTGCTCCTGTGTGCACATTAGCCCCAGCAGCAGTGCCTGGCTCAATGGCGACTCGACCTACCTAGGCAGTCAGTCAGCAGTCATGCTGGGCATTACCCAGTCTGAGGTGTGGTGGCGCAGGTGCATAAGCATGGCTGAAACCTTTAGGGAGTTCAATGGGAAGAGGGAGATGCGACATTGCCTGTGAAACCTTTCCAGTGAGACCTGAAATATCACTTTGTCCAACCTAACAGAAGGGGCTCGGTGATTCAGCCCTGGTGGTCACTTTCATCTGATGCCCTTCCTTCCTGAATGTCCCCCTGTCTTCTTACTTGAACCTTTTCTGCAACGCAAGTAGAGGGCAGACTTTCCAAAGGACTCCTTGTCCAATTACGCTTCCTAATGGAATTCTCATAGGTCCGCCTTGGAATGCTGAGAAGGAAAGAATGTGGGAGGGTAAGGAGGATCTACCCAATCGGTGAGGAGGACAAACCGGGGAACCTCCTAACTCCCTCCTAGCAGGCCAGCGCTCCCACAGCACTGCGCGCACCAACTCCGAAGCCAGAGGAAGGGTACCATCGTGCTGGCATGACGTTGGTCTTGGAGGAGCATAAGTCCCAGTGCAGATCTGGGCAAAGAGTCAAGAAGCCAGGGGAAAGGAATGTTTTCCCAGGGTTTCCCCCTTCTTAGGGAGCAAGATGGTAACAGGAAAGGAAAGAAACAGATCTCTGTAAGACCAGAGACTCAGGGAGGAACGCAGTGTCTGTCGACACAGTCATTTGTCCGCTGGGGTGGTGTGACATTTAGACAAAAAGCCTGGGGCCTGGTTTGCCTCAGTTTTCACAACTCTCCTCTGATTTGGCACTTTTAAGTTGTGCCTCTCAGATGCCTGGTAAGAAGGGACTTTTAAAGCTCATTCTTGACGTGTTTGAACTCCATCCAGATGAGATGAAGGATTACTGAAGGGATTATGTAAAATCATGGTATGAAATGGAGCAAAGAGAACAGGGATAGGAAATTAGATGATGAATTGAAGGAAACTTCAGGATTACACAGCTTCACTACCTAATTCTGCTATTTTTACTAAGGCACCTCTGGTATGAAGGGAAAGTGTTGATAAATTTGGAGTAGAGAAACACTTGTGGTTCACGGGGGTAGACATGAATGTAAGCCACATGTAAACAAAGGCACTGCAGGGCAACAGTGTAGGGAGGTCCAGTTAGCACACAGTGCTGTGCACAATGGAAAATCTCGCTGAGCGAGCCTCTGGAAGCCAACCTTTAATTCCTCTGTGCAACATTAGTCTTTGAAACGGTAGAGCATTCATTTTGTAGCCTTCCGTATGAAGTGAAGTAAGCTCTCCTGTAAAACTATCCAGTTTTTATTTGGTTTCCAAGTCGTTTTTAACATTTTTTGTAAGCAACTTTCCATGTCTGGGTTTCCTTGCTTTGCTGCATCCCAAGAGGCTGCCAAGAAAGAGGCTTTGGAGAATTTATGGAAGGAGACTCTCTAAAGAAAGAGGAAGAAATGCTTTTCTAGGCACACTCTTCCAAAGAGTAGGTCATTTTAAGAGCTCGCTTTCGTTTTGGAATACAAATGTGCATTCCATACTTTTAACACAAATGAAAATGAACAAAAGGACCATCACTTCTTACCTCTTGCCCCAATAATCTTCCAAATTGTTAAAAAAGGAAACTATTCAGTGTCCCTTTGCTTGTTCTGAATTTCTTTTCTGTTTGGGGAGTTACCAATTTCTACTTTGCAAAATCTGAAACTTAGTACTTTTTTCTAAAAGGTTTGTTGATTTATTTGAAAGGCAGAGTTGCATAGAGAGGCAGAGAGAGATCTTTCCACCTGCTGGTTCACTCCCCCAATGACCACAATGGCAGGGCTGTGCCAGAATGAAGCCAGGAGCCAGGAGCTTCTTCCGGTCTCCCACGTGGTTAGAGGGGTCTAGGCACTTGAGCCATTTTCCGCTGCTTTTCTCAGGTGCATTAGTGGGACTAGAGTGGAGAACCCAGGACTCAAACTGGTGCCCATATGGGATGCCGGCATTGTAGGCGGTGGCTTTATCAGCTATGCCACAATGTCCAGCCCCCAAACTTGGTACATTTTAAATAGAAAAAAGCAAAGGAGAAATAAATGAGCAGTCTGTATTAATTATAATAAGTATTATAATAACATATGCTTCTCAAACTAGTCTACACATGGAAAATATTTCACATGGGCCCTGCGTAGCCTGCTTGCCAAGCAGAAGCACACTTTTAGCAAAGCAAATCTTGTTTATTGGCTGGTTGGTCCTCTAGTATTGACATCTCACTTCATGAGAACTGAATATTAGAAAAATGTGGGGATATAATTTAAAAGAGTGCTATTAATTTGGGAATGAGAAAAATACTCCAAGACTTTTATGTAGCATTCATTTGAGACTATTTCAAAATGTGAAGTTAATCTCTGCCTAACACTTTGAAAAGTGAAAGTCTATAGGAAAGGTGATCTGAGCTATTCTATCTCATGGAAATCAGATATCTTGAGGTCTAACGCAGAATTTTCATGGCTGTTTCTTTTTATTTATTTGTTTGTTTATCTATTTGAAAGAGTTACAGAGAAGCAGAGGCAGAGAGAGAGGTCTGTCTTCTGTCCCCTGGTTCACTCCCCAAATGGCCGCAAAGGCCAGAGCTGGGCTGATCCCAAGCCAGGAGCCAGGAGCTTCTTCTGGTCTCTCATGTGGATGCAGGGGTTCAAGGACTTGGGCCATCTTCCACTGCTTTCAAGGCATATTAGCAGGGAGCTAGATTGGAAGCTGAGCAGCCAGGACTAGAACCAGTGCCCATATGGGATGCCGGCACTGCAGATGGAGGCTTTTACCAGCTACACCACAGTGCCAGCCAGCCCCGGCTATTTCTTTTTCAATGAGAAATACCCAGAGCTGGCCCAGGATTTTACTTTTACAACTCTGTTTTGAAAGTAAGAAGCACGTTGCTTAGCAACCAGACGCCAAGCCATCAAATGCATGTTTTGATGGGCTCTGAGTCCTGTTCCAATTTTGTGTCCAGATGTCTTCTCCTAAATTGCTTGTTTTTCAGGCATGAAGCAAATGTGTGAGGATATGTTTTCCACTCCTGTTTACTAGCTGTGGCCACCTTGAACGTTATGTCTGGAAGTCAGCAGAGTAGTGTTAATAATTCATCTATCAAACTAGCACATTGCACTGTCAGGACTGCACCCAGCACTTTGGCACTGTTCTCATTAGAAACTTAGCATCAGTCAACTTTCTGGCGTAGATGCCCTTTTCATTGTGGAATAGCACTTATGCTGGAATTCACATGACTTCTGCCACCAAACAGTAGAAATCTGATCTGCCCAGGAGTTAATTTTGCTTTCCAGAATACTTTCTTTGTAGCTGACTTCCTCTTTTGTTGTAAAGTAATTTATTTAAAGACAAACCCTGAAGTTCATTGTGTAGACTGTTCACTTTTTTTGAGAAACAAGGCCTACCTGCTTGATAATGAAATTGGAAATTGCTTAATTGCCTACCACCGCACAGCAGTGATCAAAGTCTTACTTGTTCATGGATTAAAAGCAATGGATTGGACTGGAACTATCTAAGGACTGTGTAATATAAAAGGCTCATTCACTTTCATTAAATACCAATATGCACGTTAATAGGCTGCTGTCTCTCAGTTGAAATCTTTCTTTTGCGTTCTGCCTGATGATTCTGGGGTTGCAACTCCACACAGCATTTCTCCATTACCATCGAGTCCCTTGTTAGCAATAGGGGGTGCTAGAAGGAGAACAGAGGCTTGGACAAGGGCAAAGAAAATACTTTATCTTATTGGCTTGCTGAGTGGAGTCAATCACATATTTGAGTTTAAATCTCATTGAAGGCCAAGGGTAAACCTTTATCAAGGAATCATAGCCCATAGGTTAATCTTAATCAATAAAATGCTAAATAACTCATAACAGAGAGACTCATGGCAGAATGAGCAGCTCTAGTTGATATTTTTTAAGTAAATTACGAAGAATATTCAGAAAAATCAGAAGTCTATTACAGACAACACACCAACACACATGGGAATCTATTGTGTTGTGTTTCTCACATTTAGCACATGCACCTCCCATGTGTGAGACACTCATTTCAGCAGCTGACGGTAGCAAAATGTAAAATATCTGCTCCGTGCCCACTGGGCTTGGCACTGCAGAGGGGAAGCAAATTCATGTGTAAATCACTGTAAAGTTAGGAAAACCAATAAATGCTCTGAGCTGTAAAAAAAAATGTGAAATGGGAGGAAAAAGGGATTCTGCCTATGGATCTTTATACTGTTCTCATTGAAAAATAAGAGTTGGCACTTGAAGGGTTGATAGGTTTGATTTAGGTTTCTCTGCTGTCCATGGCCATAAATCAGTTTAGAGTTAATCCTTTCAACAATCTGTAGCCATCACTTCATTATTTCCTTTTGGTAGATTAAAATGTTCATGTAAAGACAGAGATACTCTTCTTACACTAATAGTTGACAGATGGCAGAAAGCCAAGGTAGTCCTGTCTAGTTGTTCCCTATACTAAAAATGTTATAATTAACTTACTCAAACATCCAGTGTTCCTCATAGGTGGAGAGAGATTCAGAGATTGTTTTTTCAGAGTCTTTTTTCTAGAAAGTGGACAAGGAAATGGATATTTGTTGTACAGCATGATGGTTTTATGATAGATTAATTGAAGTCAGTTATAACCAGAATGTAGAAGACATTATACATCATGTCTATAAGCCTGTTGGACCACCATAAGAAAGTACCATAGAATGGGTGACTTGGACAACAGAAATTATTTCTCACCAATCCAGGGACTGGAAAACCCAAGACCAAGATTCCAAGCAA